TTATTCTAGCCGATTTTTGTTAGTCTTTTAATAAAAAAAATTTATTCTATATTTATTTTTCTCCCAATTATTTTAGCGGACAAATTTGCCCGCTAAACCAAGACGGTTTAAGGGATAGTAATTGGATCACATACAATCATCAACATAGGAGTCGAAAAGGATGAAGTATTTAGGAATTTTATCGAGATGTGCTACAGTATATTTAAAACGAACCATTCAACTATTCACATTAATTTAGCATGCGAGCATAAAATTATTTAGAATTCAAAATAAGCTACTATAAGTCCATGAATATTTACAATTGATTTCCATTTGAATTGTGAATATAATAAAGAACGGTTATTAAGTATTTAAAAAAGCTAAATTTAAGTTCACGAATATTTAATATTTGTTTTATTACTAGTATTATTACTATTACCCTCTTTCACTATTTTAGCTCTTTCGAGCATAGAGTTCGTGACCTATGCATTGATGACAATATTGATCAAGCTTTTCAAGAGTAGTACATTTGCCAATCTTCATTTATATTCATAACTATTTATTGATTAAATGTTTTGAGGATTGCTGTCGCGGCCCTCACTAACCACGAGTTTAAAAAATGACAAATACCAACGTCCTTAATTACATAATTGCAATCATATATTCTCATAATGCTTAATCGATGTTTAATCAAACCCGGGTGATCAACCTGTGATTTGACCAACGACACACGTGATTAAAAGACCTTATTTTCGAACGCGTAACCAACCAAGGCTAATTTTGGAATTTTTGATGCCTTCAAAGAACAAGTCGAGTACTAAAATACTTAATCAAAAAAGTGGCTGTTAAAATTCTTGAAACTACGAGAGATTATAACAAGTTGCCAATGGTGCAGGCGAAGGAAAAAAAAGAAATCTAAGATTATCTATCCAAGGATCCGAAACGATGTTATGCCTTGAAATTCTTTTCAACATTTAGAACCGAAATAAAAAGAAAAATGACATTTTTAACTTGTGCCAGTGGCCCCACAAAGGCACAGAAATAGCAGGGACAGGAGTAACAGGAGCAGGTGGTGGTCGAGCTTGCATTCAATGATATTGTCCTGGGCCTTAAAGAAAATCTTTTGTTTTTTTTATTTTTATTTTTTTATTCTAATGTTATTCTCCGAATCACATATCTTGATAACCATTTTTCGTCCAAGGACCGTTTTGGCCGTGACAATTGTTCATATAATAAAAGAAATCCAGTATAATTGGATCTGGAAAAGTATTTCTAGGTTATGGTTGTCGTGATATTATTCTCCTCTTTAGGAGTTCCCAAATATACTCAATTGGGTTTAAATCTGGACTTCTTGACGTCCAGAAACTCTACATATAAGATTAACCTTGTCTATATAGTCCTTTACAATACCTCCAATATGACAAGTTGCATTATCATGTTGATAAAGTACCACTGTCATAGTTCCCTCAAAATGAACTAAAGCTCGGTAAAACCAACACCAAAACGTTCATACAGATACTCGACAGCTTGTTTTTGTTAGTTTTTGAAGAAAATCATCATCCGAAATAATGATAACTTCTTTGTTATTATTATTATTATTATTATTATTATTACAATTTTAACATTAATAATATATTACCTTCTTGTTATATCTGCGCGTCTTGTAAAATTGCATCGCGTTGAATTATCAAATACAGAAATAAACACGACGATGGATGTTATGATGCTTACTCATTTTAAAAAGAAATCAACAAAGGAGATTTAACAAAGAAGACCTTTGCCATAATCTGCACTTATCCAAGACCAGTAGTTTAACCCCTCCATTGCCTTGTATCATAGCTCGCAGATATTCAGGTTTAATCCTTCATTTGGCTTGCGCCAAACAAGTATTCTTCCACTCTTTGGAACTAGCATTATACGTGTCTCATCAGAAAATACATGCTTGTTCCAATAAGCAAGTGATCGATTAATATTATGGCAAGCCCATATATAACGTTGTATAAGGTTAAATTTGAGCAAATATGGTTTTTTTAAAGCTACCCGACTCTTTAATTTATTTAAACAACACTGGAATGTTTTTGAAGAAACCTGAAGGTCAATTGGTTTCCCCAGTTTGACTTTACGCGAGATCCATATTGCTAATTATTGGTTTTCTTTTACTACGTTTTGTTGGCAATTGATCGATTTCCATCTCTTAAAATTTATGACAATTTTTAGATTTGTCGGAATAACAGTGCATGCCAATAATTTGCCAACGCTCTGCTTCAGCTGGCTCTTTTCCTCTTGGCATGTTTTTTAAAAGTTTAAGGGTTAAAAGTAAATTGCGATTTAAAATGTTATAATTAATTTAAGAATGTTTAAGATTTTATATTTTTATTAGACAAAATCTATTACAATAATTTTCGATCCTTATTTGAAATACGGGTCACTTTCTTATACGTAGTAAGTGATCGGGCTGAGGATTTTTACATAAACTGGTCTTCACTGTAACAAGTAATTCACTATAACAAGAATGACTTGTATAGAACATTCAAGTACGTATCTGCTACAGTTACAGTATATAACAGTGGTCGATGCAGTGATTAGCCCAGGGACGATGATATTTCTGCGGTGATAAATTGCGAATTCGTGCGTTAGTTATCTGTGGTGCTGGTACTGGTTATACGTAACAGAAAACTTCGAATACAGTCAACATTTTTTTATAACTGATGATTCTGAAAGAAAAAAAAAGGTCATTATAGAGAATTACTATTTTTTATTTATATAAAACCATTATAAAACTTAAAATTTTAGTCAGAGTTAGTTATAAAGATGTTCGTTATATCCGGAGTTGACTGTATATTGCAACCAATTATTTGCTTACTATTTAGATTATTTCGGATAAAAATTCAGCTCGACCACGCTCACATTTTAAATTCATTTATTTTCTACGTTTATATTTTTAGAGTGTACAAAAAAAATTTACAAATCCTACCGCGATATCTTCTACTCATTTCGTGTTTACAACCTGTTTCCATGATTTCTGCGGCATTCCGTGAAATGCAGAAAATCATCGGCCCTGGATTAGCCCAACACTAAAATAATCCCGATATGCTGCGACACATTATTTTTACCAGTGCATAAAACTTTTTACTGTTTTTACCTGTCGAAAACCATTAAAGCTAAATATGAAAATATACTCTATTACTGTATTCTCTACGGAAAATGAAGAGGCAGTAAATTTGGCAGGAGAATATGATCTCTCTGGTTTTGGCTTTTTTCAACGTGGAAGGTTCATAATTTTCATTTTGTAATTTTGTTATATAAAGTTACCAGCAACTTAATTCATCTGGTTATTATGTAGTGTTCAAGAATTTATGAAATTTTTCTCAAAAACTGTTGCTGAAAGAACAAGACCAGGACAAAGGTTGAGTGTTGAAGAGAACAGTACGTACAACTTTTTATACTTAATTTAAGTTAGTTGGTAATTTTAACTTTTCTTTACTTTTCAGATTGCATATTTTATTCTTATGTAAGAACTGAAGGCCTTGCTGGAATCATTATTTGTGATAGCGAATACCCACAACGGGTAGCTTTTTCCTTGTTGAGTAAAATTATTGACGAATTTATTGTAAAATTTGCTCGAAATACGTGGCAACCACAAACAATTTCTTATCCTGAGCTTAAAACTTACTTGATAAAATATCAAGATCCAAAAGAAGCTGATCAAATTACAAAAGTTCAGGAACAATTAGATGAAACTAAACAAGTTATGGTATGACATTATCAATATTTTTTAAAAGTAATTTATCATTTTCAAAAAGGTTAAATTTTTTTTACCCATTTTAGAACAAGACAATTGAATCTCTCTTGCAACGTGGCGAAAAACTGGACGACCTTATTGATAGATCTCAAGAAATTTCATTTCAATCAAAAGCATTTTATAAACAAGCGAAAAAGGTTTGTATACTATTTTATTGTTAACATTTTTTTTGTAGAAATTCGATATTGATTTTTTTTTTTTTGCTCAGACGAATAGTTGCTGCATTATTTCATGATTCATCATATAGTTACATATTTTGATTTTTTATTATTTATTCCAATATATACTTCAATATCTGGTAATGGTTAGAGTTGTTTGAAATCCAGGATAATTATATAAGATTTCTGATTCACATGCATATCCTAATTAAACTAATCTTTAATAATTTGAAATTGAAAATTGTCCTCTAATTCATGATGATTATCGAGTTGAGAGTAATAAAAGTAATATTATTAGAATTTTCCGGTAGCTTTTCTTGATAAACATAATTAGTTTCCTATGATTTCATAAGCATTGAATTCGAATTCCAAATTTACGTCCAATTCTAAGCGATAATAAAAAAGAGAATACTAATTGGTATATATAAATCTAAATACAAAAAATATAATGTTCCATAGTTAAAAGAATACTATCATACAATTCTACAAGTCGGCAATTTATAACTTCTAAGGATCTTCAACAGGAATTAGCCTTTTTAACACTATTTATTGAAGATATTGATCCTATATTTTCGCTCCTATTACGTTCGGATGAGCGTTTTTATGTTAAGTTTGAAAGAAATTGAATTTTTAAATTGGTCCCCATCTTCTATTGGTTCATCTAGATATCCATAATTCACACGTTCTGAAGAATAACTAGATAATCTTTACAGCTGTTTTCATAAATTCTGGGACACCTAAAAATTTTTCGTTTCCCAGAATCTTTTCGGTTTAATCCGGTAAATTACCTAGCTCTCTGGAAACTACATCGCTATTTTCGAACCTTCAGTCCGGAGATAGCTATGTAGTTTCCGGAGAGTTAGGTAATGTACCGGACGAAACCGAAAAGATTCCGGGAAACGAGAAAATTTTTAGGGTGTCCCAGAATTTATGAAAACAGCTGTAAAATCGGCTTTAACCAGGCCGACGTCAAGGACTATAAGCATGATCTCTCTCATATACAGTATCTCTCGAAATGCCCTTTCATATTCGTGCTACAGCTTTTGAAGTTTTACGAAATTAGGTATCAAAAATCAGAATACACGAATCTGTATAATTCTTTTTTTCTCGCAGAAAAATGTTCGTCGCCAAAAGAGTTCCGAGTGAACATATTCTTCATTCGAGTATGTCGCGGGTAATAACGAAGAATCCAACATACAAACGTCAAATGTGATTTCGGTTCTTAACGTTTTGTACGAACTTAAACATATTGGAGATATACTCAATGGGTAGTTAAAGAATTCAATTCTCACATTCTAGATTTAACAAACAACAAGATTATGATCATTGGGAAGTTGATGACGATAATGTAGTGTGTGTGACTGGAATAAAAAATGAAAATGTATCTGTATGTAACTCAAGAGATAGAAAAAGATTGCACTCTCTGTAAATGGCCAAATTTAGAATCTACTTTTTGATTGTCACTATCACTATCTTCATTTCATCGCCGCTCTCAGACGAAGCATAATCACAATTTACATCATTACAACAATCAAATCTGTAAACTGATCAAATTAAAATATCTAATTCAATTAGTGAAAACCGAGTTTAATATATTTTAACTACGAAGTCTTGATCATCACCAGAGGAGTAAAACCAACATTACCAAGTTGAAGGTCAAATTGAATAATAATACAATGAATGATTCAGATAAGCATCCATTGTATTGAATTCAAAATATAGCCGAATGGTTGAAGATTGCACAGATGATGATAATTCATTATCTAGTTATATTTTAAACTTGCATCTAGAACACCAAAATATAATGTCGTGGCTAATGCTGAAATTTTGACTATTTTATTATGAAACTTTAAAATTTTTTGGGCCTTTTGTTAGGTTTTTTTTTTAGGGTTAGTGTTGTAAGTAAAAAATATATGAATTTTAGTAGGTATTATAGATTTAAATAGAGACTCTAAATTTTAGCATCAGCTGCGACATATCCCTTAAGCTGTAGAGTTTGTGTAACAATTTTAGCTTAAAAATAGCATAAATTTAGTTATGATTTATTTTTTTAATATTTAAAATGAGTTTGAGATAAAATCTTGTATTTTGGCTCATATATTGATTGATTAGCTTTAATAACACAAAGTTTT